GGAGAAGCCTAGGGGAGCGGCTGCCAGCTAGCGAGGGGTCCTGCCAGTGGGTTAACACACCGGCGGAAAAGACTGGGAAGCAACGACGACAACAACAACAACAACAACAACAACAACAACAACAAATAAAATAAAATAAAATAAAATAAAAACTCTTTTATATATATATATATATATATTTGAAAAGGAAGAAGGCAGGAAGAATAGTTAGCGAAAGGAAGTGAAAAAAATAACGAAGTGAAAAAGGAAGATTAAAACGGAAAGAAAAAGAGAAACAAAAAACAAACAAACAAAAAAGAAAAACAAAAAGAAGAAGGGTGTAACGCGAAAGGTACAATAGTGGAGAAAAAGGCCCTGTATAATTCACAGCTTGTTATAAGAGGCCACAGCGGTGTTTGATTTTCAGCGTCGGCTAGAGAATATTGCCGCCACACCACAATGGCCTACTTGTGGTTCATTCAGTTCAGGGCCTTTCTCTGGAAGGTTTTTCTGCAGCGCTGGAGAGCGCCGGTGTCGACGGTTGCCGAGCTGCTTCTGCCATGCCTCTTTACGCTCTTGTTGGCGTTGGGCTACTGGTTCTCCACGACAAAGGAGGTGCCCACCATCGATTATTCTGCAGGGAAAACGATGGATATGTCGGTTTTCCTACCGGCTTTTTTCTGTCAAAACTTTTCAAGCCCACGCCCGTTTGGCCGCAGCCTGCACATCGGGCCTTGTATGGGGAAGAGCAGCAACACGGTGTGTTTCCCGTTCGTGCGGGAAGGGGCTCTCTGCGTGCGCGACAGGGCGTTGATGTCGAAGGTCATGTTTGGGGTGTACTTCGGCAAGGGCCCTGTGCGGGTTCCCAGCCTCGACGCCTACCTCGCGCTCTCCGCGTTTGTGTCGTACGACTCCCGCAGGGCAAATCCGGTGTTCTTCACCCGCTCGCCACAGGCCAGTTTATCACACTACGGACACCTGCTGCTGGCCGGGACGGGGAACGACACCTCCGTCGCCGCCGAGTTTGCCGACTTCTGCAGCAACATCAGCGCCCTCTGCGGCGAGGTGGTGTACAGGGACCGCTTCTTCCCCTCGATGGCCGAGGCGCAGAAGTTCGCCAAGAAGCACGACAACAAAGTCTGGGCCATTGTGGAGCTGCCTCCCCTCTCACCTGCGCCGGCGGCGGCGGCGGCGGGGGATGAGGCGCTCATTTTCTCCATCAGCATGAACTACACCGCCACCCCATGGACGTTTGCGTCGAATATGAAGTTCCTCAAGGGTCTGGGAGCCAACGAGTACATGCTGTACGTCACAAGCGGATTCATGACTTTGCAGAATGCAGTGCAGCGGTTCTACACGCAACGTCGTCTTAAAAGTGCGTCGCCGTTGTCACCGTCTGGGGCAAATGCCTCCGGCATTTTTCAATATGTCAACCTCAACGGACCCTCTCTGATCCCCATGCCGACGGCGCCGTACCATGAGAACAGTTTCTACGCAAGTTGGGTGTACTTCATGCCGCTTGTGGCGATGCTCGCCGCCATATTCCCCGTCGCGAGGCTTGTGAGTTGGATTGTTGAAGAGAAATTACACCGTATTCGCGAAGCCATGCAAATCATGGGTCTTCGCTGGTCATGCATGTCACTTGGCTGGTTTGCCTCCGCCTTTTTGATGGATCTAGTCGCCTCGCTGCTTGCCGCCATTGTGTTACGGATAAGTTTTTTTCACTATGTGCACTTTGGGGTGCTATTCATGATCTACTTCAGCTTTATGCAGCAGAACACTGCCCTGAGCCTGTTTCTGAGTACCATGTTTACCAATCCCCGGATTGCGGGAGCCGTGGGGGCGGTGTGCATCTTCTTATGCAGTATGCCGTACTACTCCCTTCCCGAGGGTGCGAGCATGGTGCGGCTTGTTTCGATGAGTTTCGTCCCATGCGTCGCCTACGCGAAGGCCTTTGACGTGCTCTCCAAGTATGCCTCCTTTGGCTACCCTTTCTCCTGGAAAAATGCACGTGAAGGGGACTACACCGTGTCATTGGCGATTGGGTTGATGTGGGCGTCGTCAGCCATTATGTGGCTTCTTTGGGTGTACTTGGACCAGGTGTTGCCGTCCTCGATTGGCCGTCGCCGACACCCCTTGTTTTTCCTCTCGTGGATGCGTCGCCTGTTTCCCTGCGGCGGCTGCGGCGGCGATCGTGGGGATTCTGAATTGACTAAACCGCATGTGCCGCGCCACTCTGCGGCGGCAGACCCTCAGGAGCCTGTGTGTGGTGCAGTGGAGAGGCCGCCGCTGAGTGGCGAGGCGCCTCTCGAACGCGAGAAGGAGGCCCCCGCGGCGGTGTTCCGTAACTTGTACAAGGTATACCACACCGGGAGCCTGCTTGGATGGCTCTACTACTTCATCACGGGGCTGCGCCGCAATGGGGACTACTGCGAGGCGCTGCGCGATGTTTCCATTCAGCTGGACTTTGGCAAGGTAAATGTGCTGCTCGGCCCCAACGGCTCTGGCAAGACGACTTTGATAGGGATCGCGACTGGCATGCTGACACCCACGCGTGGTGAGGTCTACATCTGCGGCCACAACGCGAAGCACCAGCTGGGGAAGTGCCAAAAGCACATTGGGTACTGCCCACAGGCGGACATTGTGTGGGAGGAACTCACGGTGGAGGAGCACCTCAGCTTCTACGCCCGCATGAAGGTTCATCGGCGCTGGGATGTGCAGCAGGAAGTGGATGAAGTCATCGCCAACATGCAGTTGGAGGAGAAACGCCACACCCTTGCAAGGAACCTCTCTGGGGGTCAACGGAGGCGCCTGTGCGTTGGCGTGGCCCTCGTCGGACGCCCTGAAGTCCTCTTCCTCGACGAGCCGACGTCTGGAATGGACATGCGGGGGAGAAAGGCGGTGCATGACGCGCTTCAGAAGGACCGTGACACACGCGCCGTGGTGGTCTCAACGCACCTGCTGGATGAGGCAGATCGGATGGGGGACCGGATTCTCCTCATGCAGGACGGCGTCCTGCGTGGTGCGGGGTCGGCCCTGTTTTTGAAGTCGAAGATGGAGGTTGGGTACGTCGTGACCTGCGTGGTGGACGCCTGCTCCTCTGAGATGGAGGAGAATATCTGCATCAGCCGTCTTACCGAGTTTGTGCGCGACAAATCATTTTCCGGGCACTCCCACACGACGTCTTCAGAGCTGCAGCCCATTTCCAGGCAATGCAAGCTGCTGGGGATCGAGCGCCGTGGTCGCGAGATCATGTTTCGCTTTCCCTTGTCGCTGCTCTCCTCGTCAGGGAACGCCATCATCAGTGAGCTGGAGGAGCAGCGGGCGGCGCTTCACCTGCGCAGCATTGGCCTCAGTCTGACCACACTGGAGGACGTGATGAACTCGCTGGCGCCGAAGCAGCAGACGCTGATGCCCACGGCGTCCGCACCGGAGTCGACAAGAGACAACGTGACGGAGCAAGGGATTTCCATTCAGCTGGACGGCCGCGCCGGCCAGGCGACGCAGGCGGTTGGCACTGCGGTTGGCACTGCGGTTGGCTGCGGTCGTGCTGCCGCGAATGAGGAGGCTTGTAACTTGCTCAGCCTCGAGGCGTACCACATGCACCATGGGCAGACGTTCACGCGACACTTTTCCGTGCTTTTTATGAAGCGCGTACACTGCGCCAAGCGGGACGTCCGTCTCCTCATTTTTCAGATTGTTTTGCCAGTGGCATTCCTCGCCCTAGCCCTCTTGACGGACCTTGTGAACCCGCCGGGCCAGCCGGCACTCACCCTTGACGCCTCCCTGTACGCAGGCTACAAGACCCCGCCGCTCTCGGCAGTCCCGTGGACGACGTCGTCGGTGTTGCCAGACGTATTTGCAGCGAAAAAGAATGACATGACCGCGGCCTTTGGACCGTACTACACGCCTGTCCAGGTCAACTGTGATGTGGCAAATTGCAGTCACCCACTCTCTGCCGCGATGATCCCTGACGTGATGCGCCACCAGGCCACCCGCTATGTTGCAGTTTCCCTCACGAGCAACCAGGGTCCGCCTGCCGGCTACACGTCTATTCTGATGCATAACACCTCGGCTCACCACTCCGCGCCACAGGCCCTCAATGTGCTGTATAATGTTGTCAACTACCAGTTGTTTGGCAATGGCTCAACGACGACGGCGCGGAATGTGCCGATGCAAATGGGAGCATTCGAATCGAAAATGGTAAGTGCCTTCCGTCGTGTGCTCTTTGGCATCTTTGTTCTACTGCCCTTTACGTTTATCCCAAGCAATACGGTCGCCTTCATGGTGCGGGAGTGTCAAACCGGTGCTCGACATCTGCAGTGGCTCGCGGGTGCCAACGCGCTTGCATTCTGGACGAGTTCCATGTTATTTGATTTCTGCTGCTACCTTGTGACCGAGGCGCTGGCGATGGTAATTTTTGTCATATTCAAGCGCACAGAATTCATTGGAAACGCCAACATTGTCGGGGCCGCCATAACGCTCTTTGCGTTCTTCGGCCTTAGCTCTGTGCCATGCAGCTACGTCGTCAGTTTTTTCTTCAGCTCCCCGTTTGTCGCCCAGAGCGTTGTTCTTGCGGCTAACTTTGTGCTGGGTTTCTTGTGGGTCATGGGCGAGCAGATCCTCGGCGCAAACAAGAGCCTGGAGGACTTTGTGAGGTACACAACATACATCCTGCGTATCTTCCCGTCCGTTTCCTTTGGCGAGGGCGTGTTCACCCTGTCGGGGGTGGAGCTGGCGAATCTGATGTTCCCAGAAAGGGTGCGGCCCAACCTCTTTGCCCTGCTCGAGCTTGTCGACGGCAAGTTCAAAGGTGGCATCGGGACCGCCCTTGTTTACATGTCGTGCACCTTCGCCGCCTCACTTCTGGTGCTAGTGCTGCTCGAGTACGCACGCATACAGCGCATCACCTGGGTGTGTGCCCAGCTCTCCTGCTGCAAGCGGCGGAGGCAGCGGTCACCCGACAACCACGCTGACACGTCGGTCTCCCTCATTGACGCGGAGGGCAACCACGCGACCTGCGTGGCGGTCGACGATTCTGTCGCGCGTGAGGAGGAGGAGGTTTGCCGCCACGCGACGGGTCGCAGGGAGGACGGCATCACGCTGCAGCACATCACGAAGAAGTACTACGGGTCCGACCGGGCCGCCGTGGACGACCTCTCGCTCGGCGTCCACAAGGGCGAAATCATGGCCTTGCTGGGCCTCAACGGCGCCGGCAAGACGACGACGGTCAGCATTTTGGCTGGCGAGGTGAACCCGACAACCGGTTCGGCGTACATCAACCACCTCTCCGTCCTCCGCTCCGCCTCCCGCAGCTACGTTGGCTACTGCCCACAGAAGGATGCCCTCATTGGCCACCTATCGCCGTACGAGCACCTGCGGCTCTACGCGGGTCTGCGCGGGGCCAGTGCCGCCTACATCCAGAAGGAAATCCCCCAACTTCTCAGTGCGTTGGCCCTCACGCAGTGGCGGAACGCCCCGGCCTACTCGCTGAGCGGCGGAAACAAGCGACGTTTGTCACTTGCTGTGGCACTGGTCGGTGGCACCACCAGCGTCTTGCTTGACGAGCCTACGGCTGGCATGGACGCCGCCGCGCGTCGGCGAACCTGCGCCGTGGTCAAGCGGCTAACACGCGAAAAGTCTGTGATTCTCACCACGCATCTGTTGGATGAAACCGAGGCCCTCGCAGACCGAGTGGCTTTCATCTCAAGCGGGAGGCTGCAATGCGTTGGCACGCCGCAGGAGCTGAAGACGCACTACACGGACGGCGCCGTCTACACCGTGCGCGTGGTGTTCGCCGAAGCGTGTGGCCCCATTGATGCCGCCAGCGACGTCGCGAAACGCCTCTGTGAGGCCTTCCACACTTCTGCTTCGAGCGAGGAGGACGACTGCGTCGTGGAGGGCGTTGTGGATCGCACCGTGACGCTGTCGGTGCGGCACAGCCTCTCGCACATCTGCGCCGTGACCTCTGATATCCGCGAAGGGAAAGTGGCGGGGCTGCCGCCGGTGGTCCAAGTGAGCGCGACGCAGCCAACGCTGGAGGATATTCTGCTGGTCATGTGAGCTTCTCACGCGGCGAGGGCGCGTCGTACATGCACACACGTACTCCCAGCGTTTTTTTTTTCTCGTGTGTGCGTCTCTGTGGCGGCAGTCAGCGCAGCACAGGTGGGGTGGGGCGATGGGCTGAAGTAACTCGAGGCCCCAGAAGCCGCAATCGCCGTCAGCCACAGAGCAGCAGGGGCAGAAATGACGATGGCTGGGGGAGGGTTGAAGGAGGTGTGAAATATGTATTTGGGAGAGAAGTTTTTATTTTGGTTCGTTTTTGTTTTTGAACTAATTATTTCCACCACGGGTGGAGGGGCACAAGGCCGAGAAGAGAAGAATAAAGGAAAAGAAAAGAAGAAAAAGGCTACTTTTGGGAAGCAGGGGAAAAAGTAGAGTAAACGAAGGGAGGAGATGAGGGTGGGGGGAACGGCGCGGGTAGCGGCGTGAGGTGTAGGAGGGAAGGCGTGGCCGAAGGAAATGCGCATGGGCGAGCTGCCGACGGTGTGCGGAGGGAAACTGCGACGGCGAGTGTCCGGCGGGGACCGCGGGGAGAGGCGTCAGCAGAATGTGTTGTGTCTCTGCCTTTGGGCGCGGCGGCCAGTCTTCCAAGCGAGGGCCCAACCGCCGTCGGGGCCTATAAACTTATCGGCCGCAGGAGTGAATAACAGGGCAGAAACAAAGAAAGAAAGGGGAGGGGGAGGGGGATACCCACACACACACATATACATGTGGTGAAAACATGATTCGATAACTAAGAGTTTGTTTCTTTCCGGCAGGGTTTCCTTTAGAAACGTCTGGAGGAAATCTTCGTCCGGGTGCGTTCAACAAACTTGGGGTGACTATTTGTTTGTGTCCGCCGTTTTATTTGTTTGTTGGCTGGTCTCTTTCTTGAGTTGCCTCGTTGGAAGGCGGCAAAGAAAGTTTTTTTTTGACGTACTCAAGAATGCTCGCTGCAACCTGCACGGCGCAGGCGCAGCTGGGGGCTTGGCGCATCTTTTGCGGTGGCGCGTCCGCCAGCATGCACAGCGTCCGAGTGGACGTGACGCCGTTGGCCACCTACGGCAAACCCCGACCTCAGGCTTACGGTTCTGCTTCCCGACACTGCGCTTGGCGCGTAACCGACGCTGACGACCGAAAGCCCTGGCGCGGTTCTCCGGAACGCGGAAAGACGGCGGGCATTGCACGCAACCCACACTGCCCGCAGTTTGGGGCGTCTTATCTTGCTCCTGTCATGGGCGCTTGGAGGACCGCATGGGTAACATACTTCCCACGGAGATCCAGTGACTTGCCTCGGCACGGGCGCGACTTCACACGGTTCTGGCGCGCTGCCGCTTCTGGCTGATGCAGGCGTTGAGGTGGGCCGAGTGGACCTCTGCGGTGCTTCCCCAACACTTCTCTCTTGCAGGCGGAAGCACGGGCGGTTTTGCTTGCCTTGCTGGCATTCGCCGAGGATTTGCCCCAACGCATGGGTGCCTGCACGGACACTGCCCCGTTGCGGGGTGACGCCTTTGAAGAGGCGAGCAGCGCGCCTTGGCGCGGCAACTGGAAGTTGTATTTTGTGACCGCTGCATCGGAGCGCCTTGAGCACACGTGCGGTCGCAGGGCGTCTCAGCGCGGATGACGCGTCGCGCTGTCGTTACTTCAGTTCGGACGGCGTGGCGAAAACGGGCCCAACTTGTGAGGGGGGAGCGGCGGTTGCGGAGCCCGAACTTCTGCGGCGGCTCGCGGACGAAGCTCGAAGCGATTATCGAACACTGCCGCTCCTTCGTGCGGAGCCCGGCGGTGGATAGTGACAGCGGTTAAAATAATAATAAAACCAGCCACCTTCCTCGCTTACTGGTGCGACTTTGGATCGCACCGGTACTTGCCAGTGGGGGGATGATATTCCTCCACCAGTGCACCCATGAACGCGGAGCAAGAGGACCATCACGTCCAAGAAGAGCAAGAAGGCCCCCAAGGCCCCTGGCGCGGCGACGGGCGTGAAACACGCACAGCGCCGCTGGCGCCCGGGAACCGTGGCGCTGCGCGAGATCCGCCAGTTCCAGCGCTCCACGGACCTCCTCCTGCAGAAGGCGCCCTTCCAGCGCCTGGTGCGGGAGGTGTCGGGGGCGCAGAAGGAGGGCCTGCGCTTCCAGAGCAGCGCGATCCTCGCGGCGCAGGAGGCGACGGAGTCGGTACGTCGTGTCGC